ATTTCTTCTACAAAAGTTTGACAAGATAGTAGCACACACTGGAAATGGACATTATAATTTTACATTATTTTGGAAGGTCTTTGATCTTTCCAGTTCACTTTGAATACATCAGATAACTCACACTGGAGAGAAACCCTCTGAATGTAAGGAATGTGGTAAAGTTTTCAGATGTTCCAGTTCCCTTTCTGTCCATGAAAGAACTCATACTGGAGAGAAACCCAATGAATGTAAGGAATATGGGAGAACATTCAGTTGTCTTAGGTTCTTTAAAGAATGTAAAAATGCACACATTAGTGAAAAGCCATATGTGTGAAAGAAATGTGAAGAAGTCTTCAAATACTCCAGTTTCTTTTATTCCATAAAAGTTTTCACACTGGAGCAAAATCCTATAAATGCAAGGAAGGGGGTAAGGCCTTCAGTCATCTTAGTAGCCTTCATAGGCATGAAAGAACTCATACTGGAGAGAAATCCTATGACTGAAAGAACTGTGGGAATGCATTCAGTTATGTTATTTCAAGAACATAAAAATGCTCGCACTGGTGAAAACCCCTGTGTGTGTAACATATGTGGTAAAGCCTTCGTATATTCCAGTTCCCTTCATATCCATAAAAGGACTCATACTGGAGAGAAGCCTTATGCATGTAAGGAATGTGGTAAAGTTTCCCATTGTTCCAGTCACCTTCATAGGCATGAAATGACTCCTAGTGGACAGAACCCTAAAATGTAGGAATGTTGGAAAGCATTCAGTTTTCTAAGTTTGTTTTGAGGTCATTTATAGGCTCCTGCTGGTGAAATATTTTATGCTTATAAGGAACGTAGCAAAGCAATCACTATTTTCAGTTCCCTTAAAAAATATGAAAATTCATACAGCACAGAAGTCTTTTTAATGTATGAATTGTGCCCTGTGAATGTAAAAGATGTGGTAAAACTTTCAGCCATTACAGATCCTGTATAGAACATGAAAGATCACTTACTAGAAGGAAACTTTGAATGTAAGAAATGTGAGGAAGTATTTAATTTCCCCAGATATTTTCAAAGACATGAAAAGAATCAAACTGAAGAAAAACCCTATGACTGTAAGAAATGTGGTAAAGCCTTCTGGTTTTCCAGTTGTTTTTGAAAACTTGAAATGACTCACACTGACAGAAAGCCTTATGAGTGTACAAAATGTAGTAAAGAGCTGCAGTTGTTCTAGTTAGATTTGATGGCATAAAATCACCCATTCTGGAGGAAATCTCTGTGAGTGTTCTGAATGTGGAAATGCCTCATTTCTCTTGTATTTATAGATACATGATAGCACTCACTGCAGATTCACCTCATAAAATATAAGAATGCAGATCAGGTTGAAACCTCAGTATCTGGAAAATTCAGAAAATTCTAAATTTTAAGAATTACATTAAAAGTCACATAACTCCTACTAGAATGGAATTCTATTAAAGAAAGTTATGTGGAAACACTGATGCAAGTTAATGATAGTAAAATGTTCAAGAAAATTTACAACATGAATTAACTGTTATAGGAGTTTTAAATAAGTTATCAGTGGCTCATTTTTAAAGTGAGTCTCTGGACTGTGAATTTCTACTTTTGCAAGGAAACATTGAAATGCATTCTATAGATACTCTTTAAGCCAAGTATGAGTTTAATAGAAAGTTTAAAGCCAATAAATATATTTTTTCTCTATTCATTTTAAAGTGTGTTGGATGTGTGAATAAATTGAAATGTATTTCTAATATGAACATAGGTTTAAATGTATATAGCTTTTAACTGTTATATGATTCAACTGGTCATTAAAAAATAAGTCTTTGCAACCCACAGAATGGGAAAAAACATTTGTAAGCTATGCATCTGACAAAGACTTAACACCTAGGATCTACAAGGAACTCAAATGAATTGACAAGGGAAAAAAAAAACATTAAAAAGTGAGCAAAGGACATGAACAGACACTTTTCAAAGGAAAATATCCAAGCAGCCAATAAACATATGAAAAAATGCTCAGCCTCACTAATCATCAGAGAAATACAAATCAAAACTACAATGAAATACCACCTAAAACCAGCAAGGATGGCTGTCATTAAAAAGTCAAAGAACAACAGGTGTTGGCATGGCTGTAGAGAAAATGAAACACTTCTACTATTGGTGGGAATGTATGCTAGTTCAACCTTTATGGAAAGTAGTGTGGCATTTTCTCAGAGAACTAAAAATTGAACTAAAAATACAATCCAGCAATCCCACTTCTAGGAATATAACCAGAAGAACACAATCACTCTACCAAAAAGACACCTACTCACATATGTTCATTGTAGCACTCTTCACAATAGCAAAAACATGGAACCCAGATGCCCTTCAAAAGTGGCTGGATAAAGAAAATGTGGTACATATACATGATGTTATATTACACAATCATAAAGAAGAACAAAATAATATCCTTTACAGCAACATAGATGCAACTGGAACAATCATACTAAGTGAACTAGAAACAAAGAACTGAATTTCGTATGTTCTCACTCATAAGTGGGCCCTGATCACTGGTCTCATGAGCGCGAAGGTGGGAACAACAGACGTTTGACACTTAAAGGAGGAAAGGAGGAAGGAGGGATAAGTGACATGCAACAACACACTAGGTACCATGTCCACTATTAGGGGAGAGGGAGCTTGCTAGAAGCCCAGACCTCACCTGCATGCAATTTACTTTTACTTGCACAGTAAATCCTCACATGCACCCTACAACTCTACATTAAAATAATTTAGCCGGGCTCGGTGGCTCAGCCTGTAATCCCGCGTCTTTGGGAGGCTGAGGTAAGTGGATTGCCTGAGTCCGCGGGTTCGAGACCCGCCTGGGCAGTGAGACCTCATCTCTACAATAAATCAAAAAATCAGCCGGGAGTGGTAGCTCATGCCTGTAATTCCGGCTACTTGGAAGGCTGAGGCGGAAGGATCGCCGGAGCCGAGCAGGTCGAGGCTGTGGTGGCCAGGAGCAGCCACTGCACTCCAGTCTGGGTGACAGACTGAGACTCCAACTCAAAAAAAAATAAAAATAAAAAATAAAATAAAATAATTTTTTAAAAAATGATTATTTGTTAATTGTTGGGATTTTCTTACTGGCCCCACCTGACAGGATTTGTGTATCCTCACCCATCATGTGTATTTCCTATCTTTAATTTATATTGGCAAAACTCCTTTTATTTGTTAATAAAGAGATAGTATCAATTTATGGGGAGGGGGAAGGATGTCCATTCAAAGACTTGAACAGAAATATTCACAGCAGCTTCAATTGTACTAGCCCCAAACTAGAAACAATCCATGTACCCCTTAACAGATGTATGAATAAATCTGTGGTATAACCTTGATACAATGGGATATCATTTAGCAATTTAAAAAGTAATAAATTAATACCTAAAAAACATTAATCTCAAAATGATCATTTCAAGTGAAAGCAGCCAGGCAAAATAGGAATACATTCTACATTATCCCATTTATATAAAAATCTAGGAAATACAGATTAGTCTGTAGTGATAGAAATCACACCATTGATTGCCTGGTGGCAGAAAAGAGTAGGGAGGGTACAAGGGAAGGATTATAAATGGGCTTAAGGAAAATGTGGCGGTGTTGAACCTATCTATTGAGTTGATTGTGGCAGTGGTTTCATGAATGTAAAAAATATATCAAAACATATCAAAGTGTACACTGTATGTATTTGTGTCACTTATATGTTAATAAGGTGTCTCTTTAAGAACAAAGGGAAGAAGAAAAACAAGCACCCTTTCCTATACATAAGATAATAGAACCTTACATATAACTTTTCGTGGTAGTCCAGATGATTATGTGACCAGCATGTGCACCCACTAACAAGAATGAGGGATTAAGGTTTTAGCTCATCTCTTTGTTAATAATTATTGCTATGTGATAAGGGTAACTAATTTTTATCAAATTTTAAAATTGCTCTCTTATTCTGGATAATTTCTATAGAGTTTTAATATTTAGCAAATTATGTACTGTTGTTTATTCCTTTAGTGGTACTGTTCCCATGGTCATTTGTCTAAGCTAATTAAATTGAATAAATTCAAGATTATGTTTATTCTGTTAAAAAGTTAATGTTAAAATTACTTTTTAAGTGGTTAAAGTTAATGGTTTAAAAGAACTTAATCATGACCTTAGAAAGTGTTGACATCATTCTGCTTGTACACATTTTATAATGCTTCTTTCATAATCCTCTTTGACTTCTTTGATTCATCTGTATTTCATGGTATTTCTTGTTTTGAGGGGGCTTTTTGGGGGTTTTTTTTGTTTTGTTTTTTTAGTGGGAGTCTCACTTTGTCACCCAGGCTGGAGTGCAGTGGCCACTCCCGGCCACCACAGCCTCGACCTGCTGGGCTCCGGCAATCCTTCCGCCTCAGCCTTCCAAGTAGCTGGAACTATAGGCGTGCGCTACCACAGTCAGCTAATTTTTTGATTTATTGTGGAGATGAGGTCTCGCCAAGTTGCCCAGGCGGGTCTCGAACCCGCGGGCTCAGGCAATCCACTCACCTCAGCCTCCCAAAGTGCTGGGATTACAGGCTGAGCCACCGAGCCCAGCTTTGAGTTGTTTTTATATTAGCTTGTTTCTGGTAACTGTAAATGTTAAAGTGAATGTAAATATGACTGAGCTTAGAAATGTCATTCCTGTAAACTCTTACCCAAAGTAAAATTCATATAAACCCTTATGATTTTTTAAATATGTACTTAAAAGTTATTTCTAATTTCCAGTTATTAGGCAGAAAGATATATATTTTTGAATGATGACTAGAAATTATCTGGGCTTAATCATTCTGAGGTTTTTGTAAAAGTTTTGGTTGAATAATTATGTTTGTTCAAGTCTAATAATTTAGAAGGGAAAGGTTCATAATCAAAGCTGGACTTGTATAGAAATGCTGTGAAATGTGAAATAGTTTGCTATAAAATATATATATTAAAATGGAATTAGTCTTGAAATTCTTAATATGCTTTCTTGTTCTCTTTCTCAGAGTGTATATAAATGTGACTTCCTGAACTTACAGCTTCAGCAGCCACTCCAGCTTGCACAGGATGCTATAGATGCTTTTTTGAAGCAGCTGAAAAACCCTATTGATTCTCTTCCTGGAGAACTTTTCCATGTGGTTGTTTTCTCTCTCCTTCTTTCTTATTTTCCATCACCTTACCAGCGATGGATTTGCTGCAAGAAGGCCCATGAACTCTTAGTGTTAAATGGTTTATTACTTATCATCACACCTGACTCCTCCCATCAGAACCGTCATGCTATGATGATGAAAAGCTGGAAGATTGCTATAGAGTCCCTGGGCTTTAAACGCTTCAAGTATTCAAAGTTTTCACATATGCATCTGATGGCATTTAGGAAAATTTCTCTAAAAACCACAAGTGACTTGGTCAGTAGGAACTACCCAGGGATGTTATATATTCCTCAAGATTTCCACAGTGTAGAAGATGAGGAATATTCTAACCCTTCATGCTATGTTCGATCAGATATAGAAGATGAACAACTAGCGTACGGTTTCATGGAGCTCCCTGATGCTCCATATGACTCAGATTCTGGAGAAAGTCAAGCCAGCTCTATTCCTTTTTATGAGCTAGAGGATCCCATATTACTTTTAAGTTAATATAAAAGCATAAGGCCCTTTCAGTCCAGGCTCCTAAACTAATTGCTTACACTAATCGGAAATACTAACATGAACTCAGTACTTAAAACCTGGTTTGCATAGAAGAAATGCAAAGGTTTACAGAGTTTGCTATTTTTTTCTACTTCTCAATTTTAAAATTTATTCTTATATAGAAAGCTTAAAGCTTCATGCAGAGTGACTCCTGTCATAGCAGAAACCACTGTTCCTTTAGCATTTAGCACTAAGATATCATAGAAAGGTACCTTTTTTCTTTAGTGCTATTGTGAAAAATGAAGCATAATTTGCTATATATTTTTCTTTTCAACTTTTCAATGTTGACTTTAAACCATTGCAATGAGAAACTTTAAGATATGTAGAAAGCTGTAGATTGCACTTTGATGACTCAAGTTAAATGTGACACAGAAATAGATCGGTTTAGTTGTTTTGTGATGCACTTATCTTTTTCTTTGTTTAACTAAATTGTTATGTTACAGAAGGCCATTTTCTGTTCATTTTTGTCTGATCTAGTATTTTCTGAACTTTTTGGAATTGGTGATAATTCTTTTTCTTCTTCCTGCTCATTTGGCAGCATCAGACATTGGGGGACAGAATTCCCCCAAAGTATGTATTCTAATTTCATTAGCCCTATCCAAAAAACACCATTGCCAAAGTAGTATTTTCATAACCTTCTTGTTGATTTGGGCCTTGGTGTTAAGTATATTTATCTGTGAGAGTTCACTTTTACTTTTTTTAAATTTAGGTTTCATTTACGAAATGTCTTATTTAAGCAAGGAACAATGTAATACTCAATACTGACCTAAAACACCTTTGTGAAAGGGTTTGCACTTGGAAAAGAGTTTATGCTCTATCGAGACCAGCTTTGATAAGGTCCTCTCCTTTCCATTAAGGAGGTGCTGCACTATGAGTTTGGAATTATATAGAAAAATCTAAAATTAACCCTCTGCAGATAATCTCATAAAATGTTTTTGACCTTTTGGTATCCTAATTTCTATCTAAACCCTATCAGAAAATTTTCTTTGAGTATATCAATCATTAGTTGGCTGTGGGAATTTTCCCTTTCCACATTAATAAATGCCTTTCTGTGTTTCTGAATCAGAAGCAAGTGATTAAGGAGAAATATATGTCCAACAAGACAAGATTAGTTTAAACAGATAAAAACATTTAGTCCACATTGTCTTGTCAGCCAGCAATTGTCATGTAAACTATCATTTTTAAGACTGCCACTGTGTGGATTTTTTTTTCAAGTGGTTATTACATTTAAATTACCTCATACTGAGGTTTTTGCACTGAAATATCACAGTTTCAAATTTCCCGGTTAATGATGTGTGTGTGTGTGTGTGTGTGTGTGTGTGTGTGTGCGTGTTTTTAAAGGAAACTCGCATTTTCAATAGTTGATTCTAAATTTCATAAACTGCACTTCTTTACTCTGGTAAATCTGATGTTTTTGTGCTTATTGTGAATTGTCGTAGTTAACTTTGAATGTCAGACTTTATTTAGAAATACAAAATGTATCCTTTAAGATATAAATGGTTGAGTATGTATACCTGATATTTCAAATAAAATTTCACATGTTAAATTAATGAAAGTAACAAGATTGTAATTAACCTTTAAAAAAAGTCAGTTGACTAAATGCAATAAGTATTGGTTGCTCAAATATTCCAGAAGTAACTTGAAATTTTTCATTTACTTTCAATAGCATGAGATTCCATACTAATTAGGATTGACTTTTTCCATTTAAGCACTACAGGATTATGTCCTGTAGCTCTCTCAAGAGAGGAAAAATTAAAAGTACTGTGTTTAGGATAATAAAGAACTGTGTTTTGGTATACCTCTTTTACCATACTGTTTGATTTTTGATTTGGCTAAATGTGATCTTAAGAGCAAAGAAAATAATACACCAAATGTTAGTGCTTTGAAAGTAAATGAAAACAGTGCTTTTGAAAGGCTGGTGTAAGTATGACCTTGGAGTCAGCCTTTGTGTTACAGCTAAAATGTTGGTGCTATATTCTTCTGATTGTTTACAGATGTTGATTCTGCTTATGCTCCAAAGTGTGCATGATGTATTTTAAGTAGTACTTTAAAGGAAAGTCTCTTTATAAAACCTACTCCCACTTAGTATAGATTTGTTCAAATTTATATCATTTGTTACTGTAAATTCAGCTTATTTAAATTAGGTCGGCACAAGAATTAAACCAATACACATTCCACCAAAGCCAATTCAGTGTATAAGTGAAGTATAAGCAGTCATTGCAGTGTACTGCCAGATCATGTGTGTGATGACAAGAGAAGTTAATCGAGCCTTCTAATCCTGAATGGGTACTCTTAAAAATGGTTTTATTTGGATATAAATAAGAGGCCTCCTGTCATTCACAGCAGGTTCTCCAAAATAATTTGATGTTTCAAGAACAAATGATAATCATTTGGTTGAATTCTTCAGGATCATGACTAGATCCATATGGTTTTACCATAGTTGCCAAGTAGTGGGAGGTAGCATACCTGAAAATGTATGTTTGTGTTTGTTGTATTTTTTCACATTTTGTGAACAAAGCACATTTATTAAAAATTTTAAATTTTCTAATATTCTTTGTCTATTACTTGTAAATGGAAAGTGTTGTGGTCTTTGATATGTCTCACTAATTTCAGAATTGAGAAGCAATTTAGAATTTGAATGACTTAGAATTTTCCAGCTGGGTTTCATTAGACAGATGTCTTAATGTCATAAATTGATTCACTGAGATCCAGAGAACTCGAGTGACTTCCCCCATTGTCATGCTGCTAATGGCAGAACCAGGACAACAGCATAAATTCTAGTTCAGTGTATGCCAACCTATCATATTCTCTTTGAAAGTTAATTACGTAGAAGATAATATAGTTAAGTGTATTAGTTCTTCAATAACTGCTGATGGCTTTGTCCTGAAAGGTTTTTCTAATGATTGAACAAATGTTTGCATTCTGCCATGTGCAGTATGCTGGAGAAGTAGCAAGGACTGGGCTGAGCATAGTTCCTTCTGCTTTCATGGAGCTTGTGACATAATGGAGAAGACAAGCATTCTATATGTCCTTTAGATCTGTATCTAGGAATGATTGCCTACTGATCCTACAACTTTGCCCCTGCTTACAGTCTCTCAATTTATTTCACAGAAATGGAATAGAAGTTCTAAAAGTTTTAAACACAAAACCTATTTAGCAAATTATAAACACCTTGTGGTTAAGAGGGATGTATTGTGTTCATCCCTCTCAAAAAGTGCAAGCTAAATATTATCTGATGTAAAAGCAGCAAAAGGGAAAAAAAAGGAATCAAGCTTTTGCTCCATATTCCTACATTTTCTGAGCACAGTGCTCAAAAAACAAAACAGTCTGATAATATTTTCTAGATCCCATTTGCAACTCTTTAGGGGAAAAAATACCAGGAAAACATACTTGCATCCTTTTATTGCATTTATGCTATGCATCTACTGAAGTCAGTCACAGCCAAGTAAATCATTCAGTAGGGTCCTCTGCAAGAATCCACACACTAGGTCAATAGAAATGTCGATTTTTTTTTAAACATTTGGTTCCTTCTTGATTTTGCAAGTTGTTAACAAATGTGGAAAACAAATTCTTCTCTTACTACTCAAAAAACGAATATAAATATTTGCTACAGGAAATGTGTGTATTACAATAATTTTATTCTTCCCAAAAAACCGAACTGTAGTAACTTCCATGAGAGTTCACAACAAATTCACATTCATGAGCCACTGTGAACACAAAGCTCTCCAAGAAGCTTAATGGTGCCGTGTACACACTACACAGTACGCAGTGAGCAAGCATGCTGCAGTAAAACAATTTCATTAATTCTAAGGATCTCTAAATATTATGAAAGGAGATAAATGCTGAGTTTTCTTTCTTTTCTGGAGTCTGGGTTTTATCCTAGGCTGGAGTGCAGGGGTGTGATCACTGCTGGGCTCAGCTAATCCTTCTGCCTCACTCTCCTGAGTTGCAGGGACTGGAGGCACACACCATCAGGCCCAGTTAATTTTTTTTTTTTTTTTAAGAGATGAGGTCTTGCTATGTTGTCTAGACTAGTCTCCAACTCCTGGGTTCAAACAATTCTTCCTCAGCTTCCCAAAGTGCTTGGATTACAGGAGTAAGCCACTATACCCAGCAATGCTGGTTTTTCTTAACCCTACTTTGATCTTGTTAGAGAAATGCAAATCTCAACAATTGGAAAGTTTTCTTAAACATACCTTAAACTTTGACTTTAATGTGTGCTTTATCTAAATTTGCTTCAGAATCTCAGTAGTTTAGTAAACATCTATTTTTGCAAATAAGAATCTTATTGCATATGACACTTGAATAGTAACTTTTAGCAAATATGGGTAAGCAGTGCTCAACTTATTTTGAATTATATTTTCAACCATATCACTTTTGCTAATTTATTAGAAAGCTATTCTGCTTTTGTGTTAATAAATACTTCTTATTAAGGTCAGTGCTTGCTTTTAGTAGTGTAAAATGACAGATAAAACTATTTTGCATCATAGATTTTTAACAGTTTCTAATTTGGGGCCCATCAGTAGTATCAAAGATGATACCTATGTTATTTTAAGTTAAAGGAAAATAACCACAAAAAAAGTAAGGTCATAAGCATTGACTGCAGAATAGTTTCTTGAATTGTCACTAATAGTTAGAAAGCTGAAAAACAATATTATTGGATTGGAATGCCCACGTAAACCATAAAAATGCTCAAAAAGCAAAACAGTCTGATAATATTTTCTAGATCCCATTTGCAACTTTTTAGGGAAAAAACGCCAGGGAAACATACTTGCATCCTTTTATTGCATTTATGCTATGCATCTACTGAAGTCAGTCACAGCCAAGTAAATCACTCAATAGGGTACTGATGACTATGCTTTTTTCTTGAGCTCATATGAGAATCAGCTGTTGAGAAGAATATGATTTGTGCTCACAGAGATATGGTTTATTAAGTTATTACAAAATCCACACTTAAGTTACTTATATTCATCCCTAGACCTACAAATGTGTGTTTACAGTTTAATGCCTCTCTAGCTGTGCCCATTGTCTTCTACCAAGAAAAAAGAATACAAACATGACCAAGGCCAGGATTAATTTAGTTCTTCCTCAGACTCCTATAACACATCTCTGTTTAGATGAAGGAAGGAGCAGTAAAGTCCCCACAAAACAATCATAATTTCCAAATTGCCACAGACCTTTTCAATACGAATCCAAGAGATAATATGCTTCCCAAAGCCAGGCATGGATTAAACAGTCCCTGGAAATAAAGTAGACGGGTGATTGCTAGAAAGAGAGGGGGAAAAAGTCCTTGGAGCCTGCCTGCAAGAAGAAAGATGCTTAGGAAACAAGCCTGAGACAGAGGGTCTGATGGCTTACCCATAAAAAGAGCTTTATTGTGTCTGACCACCCCCACTAAACTATTAGAACAGATTAAGGTGCACATGTACAGGTTGCCGGGGAAACAGAATAGGGACCTGGGAGTTTGAAAGTAAGAAGATAAATTTTGTTAGAGAGGAAATGTGATGTTCTGAAGCTTGTGTAACATGCACCTAGAGAATGGTGCCAATTGGAATAAGGAGATACAGAAAGGAAGTTAGGATGTCATTGACCATCTCTTCAGTCAGGCTGGATACACACTGAATTGCTCAAATCAATCATACTACAGAAAATTCAAACAAGTTCTTTATGATGAAATGAAGAACAAATTTTCTTCCTAAAATTTCTCAAGTGTAAAGAAGCAACGTTTTAATGTCATTGGTGTAGAGATAGTATTACAGGTAAATATATAGGTGGACTGTAATACTTGTGTGGATTACTTCCCACAAAATGTGAAGCATGGAATCAAAAGAGAGCCAGCACAGGTCTGTGACATCATTTTAGATTATATATAGTATTACCTAGGACACTACATACTTGGAGTTGTTTTTGAGTTATGATGAATTTTCATTGATCTGCTAGGCTTGTGGTTCTGATTTGTAACTATGAGTGCTATTTGTGGGATAGCTAGCTCAAGCTAGGGATAGTTTGTGGCAGTGAAATAAAGCAGTTAACTAGTCCACACCATTCAATGTTGATTCATTAACGGAGACTTAATTATTGCACTATTATACTGAATTAGGTACTATAAGGAGCAAATGTCTGCAGGGACTGACAATATAATTTAAGAAAAAAATATTAATACAGAGCAACAAATGAAAGCTAACATTACAGAAAACATTCTTGCACTGCAGTTTCTGGTGGTACCAATCAATGAAATTTGTTCACTTGACCTTTTTGACACACTGTTTATAACCCAGCTAGATACAATTTACTTTAATATGGGTGCCCCTCATCACAGAAGGTCCAGATGTAAATGATGTGTCCCCTCCCTGCCTCTCCAATCCAACCTGCCACCATCCTCTCCTTTGCCTTCTATGTTAGAGTACTAAGAGAAACGCACATATACACGTGTGCTCACCTTTGTACTAACTAGTCCTTCTTCCTAGAATTTCTTTGCATGGCTAGTTCATTTTTGTTATTCTTAGCTAAAATGCCTCATCCTCTGGGAGACCTTTCTAGTTCACAGAATCTAGTCTCTTCACCACAAATTATCTTCATAGCCCTAATTATGTGGAATATGTTTTTTTTCCATGTTTATATATTTGGGCAAGGTCCATCCATGTCTTTCCTGTTCTGTGTATTCAGCCTGGAAAAGGACAAAGCAAATGATTGATACATATTTGCAAATGAATTAAATTTCCTTTCAAAATGCAACTGACCAGCCACAATGGCTCACACCTGTAATCCCAGCACTTTGGAAGGCCCAGGCAAGAGGATTGCCTGAACCCAGGGATTCCAGACCAGCCTGGGCAACTTGGCGAAACCTGGCCTCTACAAAACAATCAAAATAGTTAGCCAGGCATGGTGGCATGTGGCTGTAGTTTCAGCTATTTGGGAGGCTGAGGTGGAAGGATTGCCTAAACCCAGCAGATTGAGGCTTCAGTGACCACAAGTATGCCACTGCACTCTGGCCTGGGTGACAGAGTGAGACTCCAACTCAAAAAAAAAAAGGAAAAAAATGCAACTGAGATGATGCAGGACCATTGCTGATATTTAGTTTATAAATCTTTTGGGGGTGGTCTGGTTCTGTTTTATATTAATTAGTTTATGAATGCATTATGAGAATGAGAATACAGTTCAATTTATACTTATGAAAAGTCTGAAGTGGTTTGTATAAACTGAGGCTTAGCTTAATACTGATTGACTTGGAGCCATATAATTTGTCTCCTCTACTTACCCTCAACCAAATGAATTGTATCTTAACCCAAGATTCTACTTTTCTACCATGTTTGTCAATGCTATCCAAACCCCAACTTCCTCTCCTTGCCAATAAAAGAATTTAAATTTGTAAGCCATCATCAGCTGTTGTATCTTTAAAAGGAATATTTAGTTCATTGATCCTTTCAATACCACAAGCAAAATGGTGCTCCAGCAGTTTCTTAATTCATGTAAGGGATACTTTGTTCTAACCACTTTCCACTGGCTTTGTACTCAGGCACATTTCGACCACTAACCACCATGAACAC